AACCTCTCCGTCTCCTTCTTCTTCCTCCTTGTTTCCATCCGAGGGCATCTTTGCTCCCGCTCCGTTCCGTTCCGTCCTGTCCCGTCCCGTCCTATTCCGTTCCGTCCTGTCTGCATACCAAACGATACCAGAGGGAACTCGAGTCGTCACCCATGAGGGAAGAGACGGGGATCGAAAAAAAATGCTTGGTGGAGCTTTTATTGCTTTAATACCAGATTAAATTTGATATGACGGATTTCATATTTCATTCATTCCCAATGTACAGTATATAGACAAATACATAGACTAACTACAAATACACACCAATATTTATTCATACAATGAACCTAATGTAGAAAATTTAATGAATAATGAACCTAATATAGAAGATTCAAATACACGCCAATATATATATATATATATATAGTTTTTTTTTATTTTTTGAATAAACGATATTATCTACACTAAGAGGAGGGGGGTGGGCTTAACCTTACAATGAGCTAACAATAATGTGGTTCAAATTCGCCTTTGTAGAAAATCGAACCTAAGATTTCTCATTTACAACTAAAGAGAAATATCACTGGAAATTTGAAAAAATAACAAAAATTTACACCTCATATAGAATTAAAATCACCTTTTTAATTCTATGATAATTATAACCAAAATTTGATATTAAAGTACTAATATACCCAAACAGTTCTCCATGAAGGAAGATTTGTGAAAAACAAGTTCATTTGAGCAACATCAACAACATGCAATTAACAATTAAAAGGCGGAATCATGTTTATATGCACTCAAAAACAAAACTTAACCCATGAACTTCAAAGCCTAGTAGATAGGTGAACCAAGACTCAACTCAAAACAAAGTGAGTTGAGAAATCAATACCTTTGTAGATTCCTCTTTGCATAAGCAAAGGCTAATCACCCAAAGAGAGGGCCTTCATTCCTTGCATCTTAGATCCATGGATTTGGATGGATGAAAAGGTTTCTCCAAGTTCCCAAAATTGAGAACCTCTAATGATTCATCACCAAGGCATAATGAAGAAGAAATGAGTGACCTTGGAGGAGTTTGATTGCTAGATGATCCCTCCAAGGTGGCCGAAATTTTAGAGAGAAAGGAGAGCTTGTGTTCTCATCCTTTCCCCAAAAATAACCCTTAGTAAATTTTAGGCTATAAAGTCCTTTATATAGTCCCTTCAAATAAGTGACCTAATGGACCAAAAGCCCTATTCTTTTACACATGGCCGGCCTATAGGTTTATTGGGCTTTCAAGCCCTTTGTTTATTCAAGTTGTCATACAACTTGAGTTAATGGGCTTGACATTCAAATCCAATTGGGCCTTGCGGCCCAAAACTAACCCGAGGTCTTTAACGAACTTATTCGTTTGATTAATTAACATATTAATTAATCCTAGCCTTAGATAAATAATTAAACCATTTAATTATTCTTACTCATCTCCGTTGTTTCTTCAAACTCTACCTTACTCGGTGAACGATCCATTAGGTTCCTTTTAGCGAGGCAGTGGGCGATTCAAACTCTTTCTAATCGATTGTGAATTGAAACTTACTTTCAATTCTCCCGTTAGTGATAATACACTTTTAGGGCTTCCACAAACCATGGTTGACGCCTAGCAGCATGTCATGGTTACCCAAGCTAATCAGAAGAGGTGGAGAACCTATTCAGTTTTAGGATTACAAATGCAATACGGTCTTTCTCTAATACAATACTCTTGACCACATTGTTTGGTTTGATAGTTTATTCATGTCTACTATCCAATGTGAGTCTTGTGCTTATATGATTACCTTGAATGTGATTTGGAACACATTCCTAAATCTCATTCATACTTTGGCCAAAGATTCTCAATCATATCATAGAGTATTCTCCCTCAAACAGTTTGAAGGTTAGAGATCCCTTGTTGCGCATTCACTTGCCTCCATGGCTAAGTGGCTTAACCCCAATGATGCCATGGACACCCTCCTGATGGAGTGACTTTGACATAATCAAAGATTAAGGACCTAACCACAAGACAATTGTGATGCCTCAGGTCAAAAGACTAATTTGCATTATCCCAACCATGAGTTCTCATGTGACATGAATATGAGAACTCTTCGTTGATCGTGTTCAGTGAACTCATTCTCTATTGAGCACCTACGTACTTGTCTTGATGTCACACACACCAATGACTCGAGACTAGTCACTCTCCCTGAGAGAAGACATAGCACGTACTGATCTTAACGGACTGTCAATGCCCAATTGACAATCCTATGATCAGGAACGTTTAGGATGTGTCAACGAAAGAATGGTCTCATGAATCTAACTTCTTTAGATCGCATTCTTCCAATCACATATTCCTTGGACTTATCGTTTAAGCATATAACATTTATATGAGACGGCTCAAACAATAATCTTTGCCCTTTACATTTAAACTACATTAGTTTGAAATGTCCGTAAAGTATCATCATATGATTGGTTTTAGGGCACATTTCCAACACTCCAATCAACTCCACTTCTTTCTCTTCCATAGTAAACCATAGATCTCTTCGACTCTTCCTTCGCTAATTTGGTACTTCTGTTCTGCTTATACAATCAGACCCAAAGAAATTGACATTTTTGTTGTTTGCTTTTGGAGTCACAAGTCTGGATCATACACGTGGAAGGGAATGCAGCAACATAAATTGATTTGGGGATGAGTTTTCTTTGCGTATGGTTCCGTTTTCTTTCTAGGTTTTCTCTACACCCCGTAAATATCCAAACTTCATCCGCCTTCTGATTATCCCTTACCAAGTATACATGCCCTGAGCAAAGCTACATTTGGGACAGGACTGTAAACTTGGCTTTTGGGTTTCATTTGAATTCCTAGAGATTGCCAGCAAATTTATGCTAATGAGGTAATTTTCTCTCAGTTAACAAGATATGAAGAAACAACGTTTTACTTTTCGGCAGAAACGAAGCTTTCTAGGATGCCACTTTGAGAAAAGCTAGATTTTGGTTATTTTTTTTCAAATTTCCCAATATTATTAAATTATAATACTAAGTGGCCTACCAATATTTATTTTAAAAAGTCAATTAGTACTACGGTCTAGTGGTATTCCTCTTCACTTGTAAGTGAGAGATCTTATGTTTGATTTTTGCCAAATACGAATTTGAACTATATTATTGCTTACACCTTGTGAGGTTAAGTCTGTCCCTTTCTCTTAGTGTAATTAATAATATTGATTTTATTTAAAAAAAAAAAAAAAGAAGAAAAATCTAGAGAGTTACGAAAAGATGTTGGGGAGTCCCTATTGTGTCGTACGTATATAATTTTGGCATCTTTACCAAAAACAAAAGAATTGTGTTGGCAAACTTTCACATTATTAACGTGTATAACGTTTCAACAAAAAACAAAGAATTGTGTTGGGGAGTCCCTTTTATATACAATTATACTTGTTGATAGCAAACTTAAAATTTTTTATTTATAAATGTTGAGAATGAATTTTATATTAATGTGAGAAGATACTTTACATGTATTTATAAGTAATTGAGCTACTCTCCATATTGATATTGCAAATTGGTTTAATATAGGCCTGGTAAATAGGTCATGTCTATCGTGTTTGTGTAACATCTATTAACTTAACGGATCATGTCGTGTCGTGTCACACCTGTTATCTTAACAGGTCGGGTCACTTTACCCAACAGGTAAAATGACCCGACCTGTTATGATCCGTTATGACCCATTAAGAAAAATATATATTTTTTCTTAAATTTGCACATATCACACATTGCCACATAAATATTACTTTAAAACATTAAAACACATTTGTTGTTTAAGTACTACATTTACACTCGAAAATAAGAGCCTAATAAAAAAACATCCATACACTACTAGTCTATTATAAAATATCAAATGTGCAAGGATATGCAAAATGAAAGAGTTTTTTTTTTTCAAGGTTGTGAAGCCTTTCTCAAAAGTTTAAATCTTGCCAATGGAACTCAAAGCTTGCATGTTATTCCTTTTACAAAATCCTCAATTTTTATCCATCATCATGAGAAAATTGTATTGGAACTTTAGCTTGATCTATTGCCTTTAAGAGTTATGTTGATGATGTTTTCAGTAAGGTTTTCCACGTTAGAACTCTCTTCCGCCTAAACTAAGTATATAAAAACCAAACATTAAAAACCATTCGAATTATGAGAAGTGAATGGAGAAGGATGTAAGAGAGATGCGGATTAAGGAGACGGCACAGGAGTAAGTCTGGATTGGAGAGATCAGAGTGAATGAGAGAGAAGAGAAGGATAACCTCCAACCTAATGCACAATGGACGGTTGAGATTAAATCTCAGTTGATCCAATGGTCACCAATTTTTTAAATTTAATTTAATATATATATATATATATATATAATTATTATAGTTTTTAGGGGTATAAAATTGTTAAATTAAAATATATAATTTTATAGTATTTTTTTAGGGTTATAAAATTATAAAATTAATATTTTGCTTATTTTGTATTGTGTTACTCATGTGTATACACGAACTAACCCGTTATCTTAACATGTGCTTATCGGGTTACCCGATAACAACCCGATTCGTTATCATGTCGACCCGAATACCTGTTAATTTCGTGTTGTGTCGGGTTATCGAGTCTTGTCAGGAATTACCAAGCCTAGTTTTATGGTAGAATTTTAACTTTATATATGGTATCAAAACAAGTTGTCTAACGAGTGAAGCTCAACGGCTGCACATTCTCTAAGTCACCTGATTTGTGTAGAGAATGAATCTCATATTCATGAGAGAATGGACTTTACATGTGTAGGTTCAATTCTTATCAATAGCGAGTTCAAAACAAATTGTTGTTACGTGATTTTAGACTGATTCCTATATCCGAAGCGTAACGATTTCGTTGTTGTCCTCAGAAACGAAAAAAATAAGATGGTTACATACCATACATGTGACAAGGAAAAAAACAAAAAACAAAAAAAAAAACAAAAGGTACGACAGATAAGCATGGCCCGCAATTCACATGGGCTGCTACAAAGGTACGATGCAACTAAATTATTGAGCATAAGATGGAACGAAGGTCTCCAGCTCCAGGAAGTGATTCACTTGTTCCAGAAGAGGAGGTTAAATCTTTTTCGAAGAATATGGGAACCTTCTCATTAGTCACAGCAGCTGCTGCTGCTGCTGCAAGAAGGTATTGTGCATGTTTTCTTCTATGTACTCCTTTTACCCATCAAACCAGTGAACTTGCGAGATTTGATCTTACCATATAAGTTGTCTAGTGAAGGAAATAAAATAAAATGGTATTTTGTATGTTGATTTATACTGTTTTACTAATGTATCTAATCATAAAAATTTATAATTATGTGGTGGGTTTTTACTGCAGTGGCATAAAGTAATAATGTTTATACATTCTGATGCAGATTCAATCCCCACCGATTCCCTTAACTCATACAAACCATTTAACAATCGTTTGTCGAAGATAAAATTGTAATTATGCTTTAAGGTTTTAGTGGCTGTTATTTTTTTTATACAACAATATATTTAGACTATGAATTGGGGGAATAAATTGCTTTCGAACTCGACGATATTCGAATCTGAGATCTCTCACAAATAAATAGAAATATCACTAGATTATAGTACGAAGATGATAAAATTATCTAATTTAAAAAATGACAAATTATATAGTGATAATTATTTAAAGACGACAAATCATATCAGTTCGTTAGAGTAATATGTTCTTTCTCTTAAGTTTGAATCCCTCCCCTTGAAGATTTGTCCTAGTTGATCAAATTCCTCTATATACGAGTAATTTAGAACAATTCATTTACCAAATTCCTTTTTTCTTTATTTAATATTCGATTTTCTATGATGGTCTTGTGTCATGAGCATGGCATATCGCTTCTAGTTCTAAAGAAGATGTTGCTTTTTCTTTTTTCTTTTTTCTCCTTTATGTATTGGAATTAATAGTTGCAAATTTGCACAATCATTATTTCTTCTTTTGTATCTTTTTTTTTTCTTGTATTTATTTGTGTTTCAACAAGAGAAATAAAATTGGAATATGAATACAAGTTGGAATTTCTGAATCGAGATGTATTAATTCGGTTTTACAGATTCATGAGACCATCTCCAATGGTTGGGCTAAAAGTCAAATTTTCTAGCCCGAAAAATTTAGCTTTTAGCCCAAAAACAGCTTTTCTACTCCAACCGTTCTACCCTAAAATTTTAGCCTGGATTATTAAAGAATGAACTTAGGCTTTTTTTTTTGTTAAATTAATTTTTTTTTTTTAAATAAATATGTAGACTATCGTAAATTAATTTTATGAACATTTTAATCTAAAAAAATTTAAATTTCGATAAATATTGGGTAGAGTCCACCCCGATTTCTGGGCTAAATTTTGGGGGGAATTTGACATTGGTTTAGCATTTAGCATTTAGCTCAAAATTTCCCCTTGGGTTGGAGTGGGTTTGGGGGGAAATTTTGGAGGGTAATTTGGCTTTTAGCCCACCACTGGAGTTGGTCTGAACAATTTTTTTTTTTTTAATTTCATTTATAACAAAATTTGGAATTTAGATGCCAAAATTCCATTAAACTTCATCCTAATAGTTGTTATAGGTCATTCATTTTTTTTTTTTTTCCTTTAAAGAACTCATTCATTATCTTAGGGTGTTGTTAAAGCCACTACAAAAACGTTATTTTACGTTCTCCCAACTGTGATTTTTCTCTTATATTTCTAAATGCTTGGAGGGCAAATGACTTTTTAATTAGAGTGCCTTAACAGCTCCTTTATATTGTTAGCAAAAATTGATCACCAATTTTTGTTGGACAATTAGGTCCCTAAGCTAGCCGGTTACTAATAACAACTAAATTTCCTTTAATTAAATGTTTTGTTGAAACTAGACTAATATGAAAGTAAAATTATGCCTCAATGTTGAAGGCTTGAAGGCAAAGTGGCACTGATCACTGGTGGAGCCAGCGGCATAGGGGAGTCCACAGCAAGAGTCTTCTCAAAACTTGGAGCTAAAGTTGTGATTGCGGATGTGCAAGACGACTTGGGTGAATCTGTTTGCAGAGATCTAAATTCTTCATCCGCTTCCTTCGTCCATTGCGATGTAACAAAAGAAGAAGACATCGAACATGCAGTTAAAACAGCCACAAGCAAGTATGGAAAGCTAGACATCATGTTCAACAATGCAGGCATAATTGGCACACCCAAACCCAATATCCTCGACAATGGCAAGGCTGAATTTGAGCAAGTGATTAGGGTAAATCTAGTCGGAGCATTTTTGGGGATTAAACATGCAGCTCGTGTGATGATCCCGGCAGGACAAGGCAGCATAATCAACACTGCTAGTGTTTGTTCTACCATGGGCGGAATTGCTTCACATGCCTACACAAGTTCGAAGCACGGAGTAGTGGGGCTAATGAAAAATGCGGCCGTTGAGCTTGGACAATACGGTATTCGTGTAAATTGCGTGTCACCATACCTAGTTGCAACGCCGTTGGCGAAGCACTTCTTCAATCTTGAAGACGACGGAGTGCATGGAGTTTATTCCAACCTTAAAGGGAAGGTTCTTAGGCCAGAAGATGTTGCTGAGGCTGCCCTTTACTTGGGTAGTGATGAGTCAAAGTATGTTAGTGGGCATAATCTTTTGGTGGATGGAGGTTTTAGTATTGTGAACCCAAGGTTTTGCATGTTTGAGAAATCTTGAGGAAAAAAATTCACTCTAATGCATGGGACAAAATTAATAAAGTGATGATGCCTAAATGAGCATGATAACGTTTGTGCTGTAATAATTTCACACTTTTGTTTGCTATGTGACTCATTAAGAGCAGAGAATGAAACCAAAATTTTTTTTGGGGCAATCGGCAAAAATTTTATTAAATTCGAATCGAAACGTTTACATTAAATGATATTACATTAAGCAACCAATATGATGCATAACAGTCCCATCTATGAGAGCCGACAATTTTAGCTACAAAAGGGGCCACCACGTGTATAAAAAAATTACAACCTCGATTGGGAAGCAAAAAGATATTTCTTATTGGAGGCATGGATCCTAGCCAGTTCAAGATGTAAACAGCACACCTTCATCCACAGCTGGAAGAATTATGAAGGAGAATCACAAGCAGAGAAAACGGGCATTGGTGCTCCTGTTGCTGCAGCTGGTTGGTATCATTTAGCTACACTGATTGCCAAATAATGATTTAGTAAGTTTATTGTAGTCGTATGTCAGTACGTTTTGATTTCATTATTGCTTAACAAGATTCATGTGTACTAGAGAATGTGACACTATTTTTCGCACGTGCAGATTGAATGAGCAAAGGGGACTTACTCTATAAGTTTAATGCTAACAGAAAGTGCACACATCTTGGATTTGCATGAGTAACATAATACAACTTCTCATTTCATATAAGTAGTTAGTGGACGAGTTAGCACATATGCATTTACACATTTTTATCTGAATATTGGTGTAACTGTTAGAATATGATTACGATAACATGATTTTTACAATACATGTAATCATATGTAAAGATACACCATAGTATTGGTGTACTAATATACATATGATTGTAATGAAATAAATAAATTAATTAATAAAGAAGATAATATAATATAATTAATTAATTAATTAAAGGATATGAACAGTTCTATTTCAACTAACTTCTCCTTAAGAGCACAACTCCTCTGGAAAGGTTACTTCCATCTCTATATATTTGTCAAATCTCTTTCTGTCAGATTTCAATTAAATTCCATATTCCTTCTTCCGACCATATTGTGATCAACGACATCCGTTTCCGATCATGTACCTAATTTTCTATCAATGGCCTCAGAGCCAGGTTTTCATGAATCAAAACAATTTGCCCAGTTTTCATCCGAGGACGTCTCGAACTACATCCGAGACTTCCTCTTCGTCAAGTAACGAATCCCACAACGTTCTTTCTAAGTTTCAACTTGAGAAGAAATCAGGGAAGAGGGCGTTGGTGACCAAGGAGAATATTGAACCGATTTTGATCGAAAGTTCGAAATCATCATCTGAGAGTTCTCCTGTAGAATCCAAACACAAAAACCCAATCGTTCGAAATCCCATCTTACAACCCATTTGAACCTAGGCCTGAATTAACCCAACAATTTTAACTTTATTCCCCTACACCGTTTCATTTGACAGAGAACAAAATTCTTTCTGAATATAAACCATTTTATCATACAAATTCATCCAACAATTATCAGAATTCAGAACGTTTTTACAGTCCCATGAGGCCCTTAGACAACCCATTTCAATCGGGGTTTCTGGCTGCAAAGATCAAACCTGCACAGAAAATTGAGGACCTGCAGAGTCCTTTTAAACCCATAATTTCAGAACCTTTATCTGCAATTTGGTCACAAAACCCACGAAGCTTACCTGCCACATAGCGATTGATTCGTAGTCCTTCACTGACTGCTACAAATCTGAGACTGAACCCGCGATTTTCGCGCCTTGCTCCAGACTCGCCACGGCAACCCACTGAACCAAAGCAGGCAACAGCGTGGTGGTGTTCTTCCCCGTGGTCTCGTCGTTCAACCGTGATCTCGTCCTTTCGCGGTAATACATAATACCGCCGACACCGTTATCCTCCAAGGAGAATTGTCTCTACCGTTCAAGATTATCCGCCAGGCTGCGGAACAAATTTTTTCCAGAGAAAGCAGACAGAGGAACCGGTTTTCTCTCTCAGAGGAATTGTTTTGAAAATAAAGAAGAAGAAGATTGTTTTGAAAATAAAAAAGTTGAATTTATTTTTGGGGAGGCTTCACGTGGAGACTACACAAAAGTCAAAAGTTTTGGTGATATTTCGAAGGCATCACGTGGGGATGAAATCAAAGGCAACAGTTCTTTTGGTTCTTTGCACTCTGACAGTGTATGTGAAGAGGAAAACTGTTGGTGTCCATCACAAAGTCACAATCAAGAAAAGAGAGGAAGAATTGATCCCACCTGCCCAAGTAGACAAGTATGAAAACCTTCTGTCGACGTGATCGTTTGAACAAATACTCGCTTTTAACTAATTAGACAAAGTTTCTTTGAGTGGGAATAAATAAATCTCTATTTTTTATTTTATTTTATTTTTTTAGTCATTAATTTATTAAGAACATTTAGTATTTGTGGCTTGTAATAATTAAAAGTACACTAGTAGTATTTGTATTTAAGTTTGTATTAAGTATTGTGTTTGTTTTGTAATTTTTTGAGTTATGGCTACTAAATCTTCCACATCCGAAGTTTTTAAAATAGAGAGGTTGAATAATGTTAATTATCGAATATGGAAGAGAATGATCACTTATCTTTTAACCCATGACAAGACTTTGTACACTATTAAGGACGAAAGACCCCTTGGGCCCTCTCGAGTTTATAGTAAATGGGTAGAAGATAATGAGATGGCTAAGGCTACAATTCTCAATTACATGGAAGATCAATGAATACCTCTCTATGAAGAATATGATTCGGCCAAAGAAATCATGGATGTACTTGAAAAGAAGTATGACCCTAAATCTCAAACGTACATTCAGTTATTACTTGAGAAATACAATGGGACAAAATTGGAGGAAACTAATTATATGGTCGATCATATTACTAAAACGGAAGTAATGGCAAAAGACTTAGCCAATGCTGGCCATCCAGTTTCTGATAAAATGCAAGTTAGTGTTCTTCTTGGTAGCGTCCCTAATTCTTGGGAAAATGTAGTTACCTTCCATGACTTATGGTTAAGTTGAATTAACGATGAATAATTGCCTGCAATGTTGGCTATTGAAGAAGTTCGTAAAAATTATAGGAAAAAGGAAACTGAACAAGGCAGAGCCAACCTCCTCATAGTGGAAGATTCTTAGAAACAACAAGCAACACATGCATAAGCCACATAGTAGTACCAAGCGCCCAAACTTCAAAAAGTTTGTACATCGCAAGCAGAACAAGTTTAAAGGAAAAGATAATGCATGTTACAATTGTGGAGAGACTGGTCATATAGGCATAAGTGCCCAAAACAACCCAAGAACAACAAAAATCCTAAAGAACTAATTTTGACAGTCTCCGAAGCACTCATTGCTGAAGATCAAGGACAGTGGTGGATAGACTTAGGAGCAACTCGTCATATATGCAAGGACAAAAGTTGCATCATCAATTTCAAGGAGAAAGCACTAGGAGAACATCGTCCCTACATGGGTAACAATACTTATGTCGATGTATTGGGTGAAGGAGATTGCAAGATCAACAATAGTAAATCTACCATTGTGCTTAAAAATGTTCTGTTTGCACAAAATATAAGGAGGAATCTTGTCTCTGTCTCTATCCTAGAAAAGAAAGGTTTTGAGACAAGATTCATGAATGGTGCTGTCACTATTGGGAAAAAGGGTTATATTTATGTAAGGGGAATTAGAGTCGATGATATGTACTCAATTTGTATTAATAAAAATATTTCTTCCAAGTATGCATTTGTCTCTACTGTTCAAAATTTGTCATATTTATGGCATTTACCTTTAGGTCACATAAATAAAAATAAAATGATACGTATGAGTAAAAATGGAATGTTGCCTCAAGTACATGCACATGATTTTGATACATGTAAATCATGTATTAAAGGACAAATGAATAAAAAATCTTTTTCTCAGCATTGGACTTCTACAAATTTACTTGAGATAGTGCATACAGATTTATGTGGACCAATGAGAACTAAAACCCATAGAGCAATGAAATATTTTTGTGACTTTCATCGATGATTATTCCCATTATGGGCATGTCTACTTCTTGCAACATAAAAATTAAGCCTTAGACAAATTTATAGAGTTTAAGGCAGAAGTAGAGAACCAATTAGGAAGATCCATAAAGACCCTTAATAGTGATAGAGGTGGAGAATTTGAAGCCTTTGATGATTTCTACAAAGAGAATGGTATCAGGCATAATTATACTATGCCTTATACACCGCAACAAAATGGTATCGTAGAAAGAAAAAATCGAACTCTAATGGATATGATGCGATCTATGATTTCTTATGCTGACTTACCTCTACATTTTTGGGGTAAAGCTTTGGCTACTGCAGCATAAATATTGAATAAAGTTCATACAAAGGCAAAGCCACTGACTCCATATGAATTATGGCATGGGCGAAAACCAGATTTATCAAACTTAAAAGTTTGGGGTTGTAAAGCGCATGTCCTCATTCCAAAGCCATTAAGAAATAAATTACAAGCAAAAACTTTGGAATGTAAATTTATAGGATATCCTGATAATAGTAACGAATATAGGTTTTATCATTTTGAGAAAGGATTGATCAAAAGTAGAGATGCTACTTTTATTGAAACTACTTATTTGATTAATCCCATACAAGAATTGGAATCTTTGGGAGAAGAAAATTCTCCTACGGTTGATCAAGATTTCCATCTTAATTTAGACTTGTCTCATGATCATGACATTGACAATGATCAAGTGAGAGACGTAAACATGGGTGATCATAACAATGTCGATCATGACACACACATGGATGATGATCATGATATTATCATGGAAGATATAAATAATGGGAGAAATGATCTAATCAGTGGGAGTAAAAGAAAAAGGGAACCATCTAGAAGATTGAAAAATCATTTTGTTTTCAATCTTGAGGAGGTAGATCATTCAGTGGGAGATCCAGACCCAAGGAATTATAAAGATGCAATGGATAGTTTTGAGTCTGAATAATGGCAACAAGCAATGAATGAAGAACTAGATTCCATAAAGAAAAATGAAGTTTGGAAATTGGTTGATCTACCTGGTAGAAGAAAGCCCATAGGTTGTAAGTGGGCACTTCGTAAGAAGTACAAATTAGATGGTACCCTAGATAAGTTTAAGGCTCGACTTGTAGCTAAGGGTTATACTCAGAAACCCGGTATAGATTTTGTGGACACTTACTCTCCAATTGCGAAGTTTACATCCATTCGTATTCTTATGGCAATTGTTGCTAGAATAGATTTAGAACTTCATCAATTAGATGTCAAAACAACATTCTTGAATGGAGATTTGAAGGAAGATATCTATATGATTCAACCTGAAGGATATCATGTCAAAGGACATGAAAACAAAGTCTATAAATTAAGAAAGTCTTTGTATGGCCTTAAACAATCATCAAGACAATGATATTTAAAGTTCCACCAAGCTATTATGGAAATGGGCTATAAAATAAATCCATTGAATCATTGTGTTTACTCTTGGAAGTGCCAAGATAATTTCTGTATATTATCACTATATGTAGATGACATCTTACTTGCAAGTAACTTTATAGATATTATTGAAAAGACCAAGTCATATTTGGGATCCAAATTTGAAATGAAAGATATGGGAAAAGCATCTTATGTTTTAGGAATTAAAATTACTAAGGATAAAAATGCCAAAACACTCTATTTGGATCAGCAAAATTATATGGATAAAATATTTAAAAGATTTAATATGCAAGATTGCAAGCCAGTCAGTACACCTGTTTGTAAAGGAATGATGCTTTCCAAAAATATGTGTCTGGTACATAAGCAAGGCATCATTGATATGAAAAATGTTTCGTATGCCCAAACAGTTGGAAGTTTGATGTATGCTATGACTAGCACAAGACCTGACATATGTCATGCAGTTGGATTGGTAAGTTGATATCAATCTAACCCTGGAAAGCAACATTGGATGGCAATAAAGAGAATTATTAGATATCTAAAAGGCACCAAAGGTATGAAACTTTGTTTCGGATTAAATGATCCGGTTTTAGTTTGTTATTGTGATGCAGATTTCGCAGGCAACTTAGATGACAAAAAGTTAACAAATGGTAACATTGTCTTGTTTGATGGAACGGCTGTTTCTTGGTTAAGTAAGAAACAAAGCTGTGTTGCAAAGTCTACCATGGAAGCAAAATATATATCTTGTAGCACAGTGGTAAGTACTGCAGTATGGGCTAAACAATTTATCAATAATTTAAATATAGGTATACCTAAGGAACACGTCAATGTATTTTGTGATAATAAGTCTGCCATCTTTCTGATAAAGAGTGGAGCAAATAGTTTCAAAGGAAAACACATTGATATTAATTATCATTATATACAAGATATAGTGGAGAGATGAGAGGTAAAGGTCGACTACATACCCTCTGATGAGATGGGGGCCGATCAGATGACCAAGGGATTGTCTCTGGAAAAATTCAGAAAGCATGTGACTATAATGGGTTTGCAAAACATCTAGATGTGTTGTAGTGTGAGACGTGCGGCGGGCATCGTTGTATGGTTTTAGGGACGCCTAAAACATGGACAAGTAAATGCGACTATATCTGGTTCTATCGTACTTGGTTGGTTAAAGATAGAGAGCACTAGCGAGGTAACCAGGTTATTATAAATCGTCTTGAAAGTAAAATCCATAATAAGCTTGAAGAAATAATTTGTATAACACTGTGGAGTATAGTGCGGGGCTAAGTCATCATTTGTAACCGGGTATGGATTGTTTTTTCCCTAGTTACTTGGATATGATGCCATTTTACTAAAGAGTAAAATGTTATCAAATTAAGTGGAATGGTGCGCACCAGGTAAAGAAGCCACATATCTGTTGTTACATTCAATTTGTTTATGAGTAATACTCTTGAGAAACAAATCAGAATAGGAAACCATTTATGTCATCATAATCAAGTGGGAGATGTTGGAATATGATTATGATAACATGGTTTTCACAATATGTGTAATCATATGTGAAGGTACACTATAACATTGGTGTACAAATATACATATGATTGTAGTGAAATAAATAAATTAATTAATAAAGGAAATAATATAATTAATTAATTAAAGGATATGAACAATTGTATTTCAACCTGAGAAGTTATAACTTCTCCTGAAGAACACAACTCTTCCAGAAAGGTTACTTCCATCTCTATGTATTTGCCAAATCCCTTTCTGTCAGATTTCAATTAAATTCCATATTCACTCTCTGTTCATATCCTTTACACCATATTGTGATCGATAGTCTAACGACATCCGTTTCCGATCCTATACCTAATTTTCTATCAGTAACCTGATTGCATAACTTATCAAGTGCCATCTCCATAAATTATACATATATAAAAGGAAACTTTAACGAAAAGCTCCTAGTACTATTCAATTTACCCTTTATTTTGTCATTCTCGAAGTTTTCAAGTCCTTTTCATTAGTTTTCCTTATAGAAAACTTAGTTTCCTAGCCTTATTCATTAATAGTGAAATGGCAGAAATCCCCTCGATTTCTTTTTGCTTGATTTGCTGTTTCCTTTTTTCTGCAGTAAAAAGTCGGCTTTGCCCATTTGCGCCACGTGTTGATCTTCTCTAGGTTCTCTCTTTCCACTGTTGTTTGCTTCACCTTTTGTTTTCATGTTTTTGTTTCACAAATTTTTCCTCTCTTATTTTCAGCTTCGAGCTCTGACACTCAAGCATTTTTTATTGCATATTCCTTCCTTTGCCTTTGGTTTTTGCTGCGC